CGGGACTCGGCCCCCCCGCGGCGACCCGCCGGGCTCTGAGGGAGGGGTCTCGAAGACGCAGCTGCGCAGCGTCGGCGCGTGGAACGCTGTCGGTATTGCTGGCGGCGTGCCTGGGGCTCGGATCCCTGGGGAGAGCGGTTAGCTTCCACTCCGGTTCCAGGCAGCGTCACACGCTCCGCAGCCGTGTGGGCTGGCCCCAAGCGCAGCTGTGGGGCCGGGGGGACCGCAGTGCTCGATACCGAAATAACTTTTCTTCCCTAGGGAAGTTGTTGCTTCCAAGAAAAAGTGGATGCCGTGACCCTCGGCACACACCAGCGCTCCTCACACAGCTTCCACGCGCTCGGAGATTCCCCTTCTTCCCTGCACTCAGATTTTTTCCTGACGCACCTGTGGTTTTGTAAACCAGCTGTGGGGCCGGGGGGACCGCAGTGCTCGATACCGAAATAACTTTTCTTCCCTAGGGAAGTTGTTGCTTCCAAGAAAAAGTGGATGCCGTGACCCTCGGCACACACCAGCGCTCCTCACACAGCTTCCACGCGCTCGGAGATTCCCCTTCTTCCCTGCACTCAGATTTTTTCCTGACGCACCTGTGGTTTTGTAAACTTTGTAAGAGGGCTGGAGGGAGGATTGTGTCCCACGCTGTCCTGGGTCAGTCCAGGATAGCTGCGTCATCCTCCCCATTCTGGTAGGGACAGAATTGCATCTGGGGAAAAATCAACTGGAAAACGGAAGGTGAATGGTCTGGGCTAAACCCTGGGCGAGGACTTCTGCGTTTGGTGCTTCATCTCCCAGCCTCTGTCATCTCCTCCTTCAGATTTGGTTTCGTGAGGCGCTCACTGGAGCCAGACACCTGGGTCCTGCTTGGGAAAGGGACGGGATTTTCAAAAGCCGCTTTAGAGCAGAAGTTGCATGAAAAAATCATTGGGCGTTTGTACTTCTGCGTCGTGTGGGGTCTCCTGAGAATCCCATCATCAGGAAAAGCTTTGTCTGGCCCTTTGTGGCTGAGCACCAGCATCTTTGGATGTGGCATCCCAGCAGACAGGAGCTGCTCTCTGTCCTTTTAAGCATGCTGACTGCTTAGATTGGAGGTGTTTCTTTTCTCCCTTTATTGCGTGGTAGAATGAAAAGGTTATGGATTATTTCTGTTGCAGCCTTCCAGTCTCCTGTAGATGGATATGGCTGAACCAGGGTAGGTCCATGTTATGCACTGGACTGAAGATGGTGCTGGGTGAGAGCGCCGAGCCCCAGAGGCGGCTGGATCCTCTCAGAGATCTCGGGGTGTCTCACTGTCTCCCGTTCCCTCTCAGAGATCTCGGGGTGTCTCACTGCCTCCTGTTCCCTCTCAGAGATCTCGGGGTGTCTCACTGCCTCCCGTTCCCTCTCAGAGATCTCGGGGTGTCTCACTGTCTCCCGTTCCCCAGGTTATGCGCTACCAAGTTCTGCTGTCGCTGATGCTCTCCAGCCAGACCAAGGACCAGGTGACGTCAGCCGCCATGCTGCGCCTGAGGCAGCGTGGCCTCACGGTCGACAGCGTTCTGCAGATGGATGATGCGACGCTTGGGCAGATCATCTACCCCGTGGGCTTCTGGAGGGTGAGTGCAGGATCGCGGCAGCACCTGGTGCGCGCGGGGAGGATCCCCCTCCACCGTCCTGCGCTCCCGTGCGGCCGTCCGAGACGGCTCCGAGGCCCAGGAGGGGCCACGCAGGGTGGGTCGGGCGGGGCCTGTGCAGGCTGGACCCGGTTTCCGTAACGAAGGCAGGAGGTGGGTGCGGAGCAGCCCTGCTCCGGAGAGACGTACCCCCAGCTGGGACTGAGCCGCCGGGCCGTGCCCAGGGCTGATTTTCCCCTGGAGTCGAGCTGAAGGCTGTATTTTATGCCAGTTTTAGCTGTTTATTCACAGCAAGATTGTTTGCTGCAGTACCTGGAGTGTGCAGGGGGAGGTTATTGCTAATCAGGTCTCAGCATTTTGCTTTCAAGGAGAAATCTGTCTCCCCTCTGCAAGCTCCAGTGTGTGGCCTCATGTAACATACCCTCAGGAACGGTTTGTTTTCGGAGCTGTTTGTCTCTTTTCCCTATGTTGGAGGTCAGCTTGGATTTTTCTGCCTTTCCCCTTGGTTTTCCAGAACAAGGTGAAGTTCATAAAGCAGACGACAGCCATCCTGAAGCAGAAATACGGGGGTGACATACCGAGAACTGTGGAGGAGCTGGTGCAGCTGCCGGGAGTTGGGCCCAAAATGGCCCACTTGGCCATGAACATCGCCTGGGACAGCGTGTCCGGGATAGGTAGGCTGGACCGTGTTCTCCCCATTCCTCTCCTAAATCCTGCCTGATCCATTCCCTGGGCAGAGGGGAAGCGTTGCAGCTGCCCCAGGACCCTGATAGCGTCGCTTTGGTTTAGTCATCTGCAGACTGTTTGGGTGGATGACGGGTGCAGCCCTCGACCACTCGCACTGGGTGAGTTGTAGTAGGGTTTAAGCATGGATCAAGCTGCCGTTTTTCCCCAGATTTGACAGCAGAAATCCCCTCCCCACAGATGCTGACGAGGAGTCAAGAATTGCCTAACTGGGTAGGCATCCAAAAAGATGCGCTAGCAGAATAATGCTTTGACATCTCTTTGGTGCCAAGTTAAAGAGAGGTGGGGGTAATTTTGTGATTTGAGGATAGTTGTGGGATAGTCTGAGGTTGTTTTTTTCCAGGGTTGCTTCCGTTCAAACAAATCTCATTTGGGATTTTTGTTTGGCGAGCCGTAGGAGGGCAGAAGCAGGGCTTGATCAAAATTATGGTTTGAAATCAGCAATTCATGATGGGTTGTAGAAAGAAATGGTCTCAGGCAATCCGTAGCTACAGAATTTCTGGTCTGTTTTAGTTCCTGCAGCTGGGTAGTAAGTGACCATGGGTATATTTATTTGCCGTGTTTATGGAGCAGAGAGCGTGGGAGAGCGCGGAGCTGTACCCCGTGGAGCCGTGTGCTTTGGCAGCGATGGGCTGGGAGGACGGCTGCGGTGGAGCTGGGCCCAGGGCAGACCCCGGGCCGGTTTGCCCCCGCACGGTGCTGGTTTGGGGAGCGTGGGCAGGTTTGCACTGGTTTGGGGAGCGTGGGCAGGTTTGCCCCCGCACGGTGCTGGTTTGGGGAGCGTGGGCAGGTTTGCCCCTGCACGGTGCTGGTTTGGGGAGCGTGGGCAGGTTTGCCCCTGCACGGTGCTGGTTTGGGGAGCGTGGGCAGGTTTGCCCCTGCACGGTGCTGGTTTGGGGAGCGTGGGCAGGTTTGCCCCTGCACGGTGCTGGTTTGGGGAGCGTGGGCAGGTTTGCCCCTGCACGGTGCTGGTTTGGGGAGCGTGGGCAGGTTTGCCCCTGCACGGTGCTGGTTTGGGGAGCGTGGGCAGGTTTGCCCCTGCACGGTGCTGGTTTGGGGAGCGTGGGCAGGTTTGCCCCTGCACGGTGCTGGTTTGGGGAGCGTGGGCAGGTTTGCCCCTGCACGGTGCTGGTTTGGGGAGCGTGGGCAGGTTTGCCCCTGCACGGTGCTGGTTTGGGGAGCGTGGGCAGGTTTGCCCCTGCACGGTGCTGGTTTGGGGAGCGTGGGCAGGTTTGCCCCTGCACGGTGCTGGTTTGGGGAGCGTGGGCAGGTTTGCCCCTGCACGGTGCTGGTTTGGGGAGCGTGGGCAGGTTTGCCCCTGCACGGTGCTGGTTTGGGGAGCGTGGGCAGGTTTGCCCCTGCACGGTGCTGGTTTGGGGAGCGTGGGCAGGTTTGCCCATCCGACAGCGCTCGGGGTCTGTTGTTCTCTCCTTGCTGTGGGGGAGGGAAGTCCAGAGGGAGCCAAACCAGCCAACTGTTTTCCAAATAATTGTGTGCTCAGTTTTGATTTAGGAGGCAAGACTTGGTCTTCCTGTTTACAGCAGTTTCCTGGGTTTTGCCCAATTAGCCATAGAGACGGGTTTATCGCTGCTGATCTAACAATAATATACTTTGCATTCAGAGCTTTTTTAGCTCAAAGCACTTCATAAACATTCGTTTAAGCCTCACAAACCCTCCCGTGTTGGTAGGTGTTATGAAACGTGTTTTCCATCTGGGCGAACGAAGGGGCAGAGATTGCAGCTTGCGTAACACCAGCTGACAGGCGGGGAAGGCAGCGAACCCGGGACAGGCTGCCCCGTGCCC